TCAAAAGCTACTCCTCTGACACTGTATATGTGTCTAATCACAATAGGTGACTTTTTTAGATTCGATTCCCGGGTCGGAAGAGTGGTATAACCGTTTTTAAACAAATTTCATGGATTCCGAATTTATGAATAACTAGCGACCCGCCCTGCTTCGCACGGGTGCAATATGTATATACATACAAACCTTCCTTAAGAATCACTCTATCTATTAAAAAAAACCGCATCAAAATCCGTTGCGCAGTTTTAAAGATCTAAGCATACATACGGACATACAGCGAAAGCGACTTTGTTTTATACTATGTATTGATAAGGAATTTATTGTAATTAGGTACACCCTTATGTATGTATATTATGGCGTGATAGGGCTCATAACATAGGTTTTTGATTAAACCTCTGAAATATCCCTTCGGGGATTAAAAGGCATGACGTTATGTGACTGAAAAAATATCATTTCATGTTATTGTTGAGGATTTTATTTAAAAACATTCAATTTGAAATTGTAAAGCTAAAATTAATTTGATTGCACATTCTGATACGAACGGCGACGTATCGCAATATGGCGCCCGTCTATTGTTCTCCACAGATTATAAAATACAATCTCTGTTTGACAGATACAAAAAATTTTGTGCAAATACGTCCAGTGTTTTTTTTTTAAATTAGGGATATTTTTAGCTCTGTCAATAGATATGTTTTCAGCCAGTTAATAATATTTTTTCGAAACGTATATATAAAAGGCTATTTTTATTATGGCATAAGCCGGTAAACGAGCAGACGGGTCAGGTAAGCGATCGGCGTCGCCCATGGACACCAGAACACCAGAGGCGTTACAAGTGCGTTATCGGCCTTTTGGGGATTAGGAGTTTGAGGATCGTTGGGGATTCAGGAATTGGGGAGATTGGGGAAGGGGAGGGTAATTGGGCCTCCGATAACCTCACTCACACGACGAAACACAACGCAAGCGTTGCTTCACGTCGGCTTTCTGTGAGGCCGTGGTATCACTTCGGTCGAACCGGCACATTCGTGACGAAGCATGGATCTCCTACACTTGATATTTTGAGTGAACTCTGAGATTTCAAAATATGAAATCATAACTTTTTGCGTCAAATACTTATTTCTCTTGAAATAACTTAAAGTGTGTACTTTAACATCATCAACAGCCTATAAATGCCCACTGCTGAGCAAAGCCTCTTCTCACACGGAGAAGGTTTGACCATTAATCACCACTCTTGCTCAAAGCGGGCTGGCGATTACAAACTTATAATTAGTAATTAGAATTTATAAGCAATTTATAAGAATTTATAATGCATTCAGAGCTATGCTCAACCTACCGTGGAGGTGTAGTGCGTCTGGCATGTTTGCCGAGAATAGGGTAGATGACTTTTATGCAGTGATGAGAAAACGGGCTACCTCCTTCATGAACCGAATACGAAATACTAACAATATTATTGTCCAGGCTGTATATGACTGCTGCAAGTTTGACATTTGTGACATGTAATGTAATTAATTAATTAATAATTTGTAATTTCTATTAATAATAATTTTTGTAATTTGTACTTTGTAATTTCTATTTTCTGTGTATAATTTTCTATGGGCATGTGCCTGAAATAAATGAATTTTATTTTATTTTTATTTATTTTTATTTATAAGCCCAAAGTTTCCTCACGATGTTTTCCTTCACCATTTGTCAGTGGTGTCTAAATAATCTTAGAAAGTACATATAACTCGGAAAAAGTCACATTGGTACTTGCGATTGGTAGGTTTCGAAACTGCAGCCTCATGCATGATAACCGTTTTAAACCTCAAGGGCCACCATGACCCGATAGGATATAAAAAGAAGGAGGGAGTGTTTTCTAACATTGTTCTCACGTTAATTGTAGGTTGCAAGTAAACTGCTACAACCATAGATATAATATTATTAAGACTTTGACTGCCAATAAAAAACTGATGAAGGTAAATCCTCCGCTAACGCCGGTCACCGGTGACCACCATGGCGTTTAACGTGTTAATCTATAATTGAAAAAATTTACTTCCTGCCTCGTTGACCGAGTGGTCGCAAGTGCGACTGCTGTAAAAGTATTACTGGGTTATTAAAAAAAATCTCATTAGTAGCACGGAGTCTGAAATTGTGCCCGGTATATGGCAATAGGCTCGCCTCCTATTAAATGGGACTTATAGCATAAATAATGAAAAGTGGGTGTTACATTGTACAGTGGCATTAAATTCCGTAATGTGCACTTCTGCCTACCCCTTCGGGGATAAACGGCATGATGTTATGTATGATAGACGTAGTTAGTTTAGAATTATGCCACTTTTCACTATTTATTTGGTATTAAATGTCGTAATGTGCACCTGTGCCTATCCCTTCGGGAATAAAAAGGCGTGATAATTATTACGTTGTATAAAAAAAATGTATTTGCAATCGCACCCACGAAGCCCCGACCCCAGTTGTTACCACAGGGTTAAAATACAAGATATCACAAAAAATTATCCACTATTTTAAGTGGGAAAGTTCCCCAATATTTTCAAGGAAGTCCCTAAGTGATTATCGCTACCCACTACTTCTTCGTATAGCTGTAAATATTTGTATAACAACTTGGGTTGACGGGTTTACGATACTACGTGTCCAATGTCTAGGATATGTTTTATTGGCTAGAAGCGAGGAAGTAAAGTGGTCGAGTATGAAGCATCCCTACCCTTTCTTCGAGTGTCGTAAGGACTAAGGAACTATCTAAATATTGGGCAGACATCGATACTGACAACCTATAACTTTTCTGCACCGCTATTTCTGTACCGCGAGCGCGTAAGTTAGCTATGCACCGAAAGACTTTTCACCCACGATAACAAATCTTGGTCAGCACACACCCATGTACCGTATGTGCTGCAATTGGGAGGATGACAGAGTATGCAAATTAAAAATCAAATATTACCTTCTTACATAAAACGAATCAAAGTTTAGGAGTGGGGGCTAAAACGTCATTTCTACGTATAAAATGTACATAGAAGTGACGTCACGCGACATTTCAAATCAATATACCGTCTTAAGTATTCGTTTCTGTAAGAAAATAAAAAATACGTGTGTAATGATTTAAAATAATCTACCAGACGGACATTAAAATAAAAATTAGGCTTCTACCCTATTCTAGTAATTGTGAAGACATTGAAGTCTTCCATCTCGATTCTCTTGCCTCTTTCAAGAAGAAACTAATATCATTTTACACACTTTGAACTAAAGTTTTTGTTTCCATTTAGAAATGTAAGATTTCTCTATTATGCATGCTGTGTGTGCTATGCTTTGTGCGTAAAATGTTTGATAGTATTCAGTTTTGTAAACCAAATAAAAAAAACGTCTAGACATGGCTATAACAAGTTACTTTTACAGAGGGTTTAACAATGTAGGTAGAGGTATCTGAAGCAAGTTACGTGTAGGCAGCTAGATATTTTTTTTAAGTTAAATGTGTAGGTACCTAACCAAAAATATTTAGTTGCCCGTGTATTCTTCAGTACCAAATGACAACTTATTCTTAACAAAAGTTAATGACTTATATGGCTACCTACATGACCTATCGTTATTTTTGCCCACAGCGGTAGCATCTAACCACCAATGACCAAAAACGAAACTGAAACATGATTTAACGTTCAAATAACTTTTAATTATTCCACAAAATGGAAAATAATAAGAAAAAGGACTTTTCCTAAAGTATTACTAAGTAATCATCTGGTCGTAAATATTGTTAAATGACCGAAATAATTTAATATCAACGGCAAGACGTTGACAAAGGTGTCCGCCATATTTAAATCGATTTTAAAATTAGAATGACATTTTGAATTTTTATGTTTAGATAAAGAGGTGAGTTTTTTTAAGATTTTTTGACGTTGACAAAAGTGTCCGCCATATTTAAATCGATTTGAAAATTAGAACGACATTTGAATTTTTTTTTCATTGTGTTACCTCATTCAGCGTTGTGTTTTTTTTTTACTTTTTATCGTCGAACATAGGCCTTCCATGAGGACTTCCAGATTGGTTAGTTGAAGGTAACCAACTTTATATTTTTATGTAATGTTTTTGATTTTTAACTTGTTCATAAAAAAATACAGTGAATGGCGGACCTAATGTATTGTCTTACATTTTTTTTATTTTTGATTGTGTACTTACTTTGAGTGATGGTGTATGAAGTGTTAAATGCAATTGCTAGATATTGAGTGTGCTAAAATGTTTTTTTTTTATTGTTTTAATTAATGTTATCCGACGCTAGTAGACGATTTGTCTTTAACACTTTTTTATCGGCTGTTAAACCTTCTTGGGATGAAGTTTCGCATTGCAATTGCAGTGTTCGAGTATAACGTTAATGCCATTGTAATTTTAACGACAAGAAATCTCAGTGTCATATATTATATTTTCAGTATCATATATTATATTTTATCTATAGAAAACGTATCTATAGGTGTTAACTCGTCGAGTACCGGTTTTGTAGACACAATTATAGAACAATAGGTTGCGGTCACCGGTGACCGCGCGGTGTTTGACAGTTTAAATGACTTTTATGAGTAATTCTACTCAATATTTATTTATATTTTTTGATTTGTTTAAAATTGCAAAATTGCATTTCAACAGTTATTAAACGATGATGAAGAACTCAATTTTTTGTGAGAATGGTTAAATTATTTTAATATTTTTTATTATTCGTTTTTTTTATAAATTGTCTTTAATTTATTTACAAAAAAAAAATGTCAAAATCGAAATAAAATCACCTACAAAATTCCCAAAAAAAAAAATACAACAATCCCATTTTTTACCTAAAATAATAATAAATCATATAAGCGTAATTTCTTTTTTCACAAAACCGTAAAAAATATACCAGTCTAAAATTATAAAGACCCATTTTCCCACCCAAAAAAAATAACAAAATTGTTTTTTTTTCTTTCATCTTTCCAATCCACGAAAAAACCGCATAAATGTCAAACTAAGAAACGAAAAAAAAAAATCCAAGATGTCCGACTAACCTGTCAATGACTGCAATAGATGTTGTCCTCGAGGTGGTGTTGGCAGCAATGGTGTGTATGCTGGCCTGCGCTGGTTTAATATGGCCCGCTACAGGTGGGCGGGAACGTGGGCGGGGAGGTATGGAGACAGTGTTGTGGATGGAGAATTTTCTTGATTTTTTTTCTGTTTTTCTTTATAGTGATGATATTTTTATTGATGTTTCTTGTGATATAAGGTTAAAAATGCATGTTTAAGAGAACTGATTAATATTAAAAAGTTAAATGAAAAGTTTTAGATAACATTATTAAATAAATGGTGAAATACTCATGAAATACATATGAACTACTGAGGCAATTTTGTTAAGTAGGTACTTATATGAAGGTTAAACTTATCTATATCTATACTAATATTATAAAGAGGAAAGATTTGTACCTATTTTTGTATGTTTGTACTGAATAGGCTCAAAAAGTACTGGGCCGATTTAAAATATTCTTTCACCAATAGAATGCTACATTATTCCAATTTGTGCGAAGCCGGAATGGGCTGCTAGTATTAAATAAAGACATACGAAATTAAATATTTCGTGAGACATACTAAATTAATTATTATGTTCTCAGCTCAAACAGTTACGTGACTAAGCCGAAAATATAATAGTTAATGATAGAAATTGTCTTACGGTGAACATTTACTATCCTTCCACACTTTATCGCTTATCTAATAACACAAATACAATTTCTATTGATGCTAAATTAAACAATAAGCTGTTCTATTAGTTTCCTAAGCAGTTTCGTGTTGTTTTCCAAAAAGAAACCCGTTTATAAAGACGTAGGGTAACATCAAATATTATTTAGTTGTAAATTAAATCAGTGGCACAACGCACGTCTTTCAATATTAAAAATCCGTCTAAACGAAAGTTGACCCTATCAGAATCATCAATCATTTAAACTTTTAAGTGTGAGAGAGCCATGCTTCGGCACTGCTGGGCCGGCTCGGAGTCATACCACGGCCGAGCAGAAAACCATAGTGAAACAACCACAGTGATATGTTTCGTCGTGTGAGTGAGGTTATCGGAGGCCCAATTTACCTTCCCCTTCCCCGATCTCCCAAATTCCTGAATCCCCAACGATCCTCAAACTCCTAATCCCCAAAAGGCCGGTAACGCACTGGTAACGCCTCTGGTGTTCCAGGTGTCCATGGGCGACGCCGATTCCTTACCATCAGGTGACCCGTCTGCTCGTTTGCCGGCTTATGCAATAAAAAAAAACTAAACTTACAAGTCGTCTCCACTGCTCTCTTTGTCCGCGAATCACGAACGCACGCTGTACTGACTGTACTTTGTAATCACAACGTTTTACGAAATGATTTCAGAATTCTATGAACAGTCTAGCTTATGATCTAGATTTTAGGCCCAGGATCAAATTAGGTCTTATATGATAATAATTAATGCATCATGGTTAAAAATAACTGCCTCGTTGGTCGAGTGGTTGCAAGTGCGACTGCCGGGTTGTTGTTGGTCTTTTTTTTTTAAGGGGGGAAAATCATCGAATTACTGCTCCCGCCTGGGTGAGGCGGGAGGGAGTGTCAGACTCTTACTGACTGAAAACCACCCCGTTCCTTCTCCTGCACGTCGAGCCGGAGCCCCGGTTACCCGTTAGGTTCTCCGCGACTTGTTGTTGGTCTTGGGTTCAATTCCCGGGCCGCAAAGTATTACTGGGTTTTTTAAAAAATCTCAGTAGTAGCACGGAGTCTGGAATTGTGTCCGGTATATGGCAATAGACTCACCCCCTATTACATGGGATTCAAAACATAAATAGTGAAAAGTGGGCGTTACATTGTACAGTGGCATTGAGTGCCACATTGTGCACCTCTGCCTACCCCTTCGGGGATAAAAGGCGTGATGTTATGTTATGTTGTGGTTAAAAATAAATCTGTATTAATTAGTGAATGAGTTCGGTAATA